AGGTTTTGGAAATCAGGATAGATTTTTCAGATGAACTATTTTGAATTATTTTAGTAAGCCGAAGGGATATATGTGAGTTCCACATTTTAGCCCCAAAGGGGCTGCGCTAACAAGCTTTTATGGAAAATAATGACTTTTTCTGAGCTGAAGAAAGAATCATACGGGAAAGTTCGGATAAGTTGGTTAAGCATGAATGCATGAAAATTTGCGGTTTCAGTTGGACGATGGTTGAAAACAGAGAAAACTGTTCACTGTAAGACTATTGGTATTGGTGCATTTGCACACGTTGGTATAGATATATACAATCTGTATCGATGTCCTATTGATATATATGTTTCAGAATATGGTATTCACAGTGTAGTCGGATATAGACAACTGATCATCAGTGGCTGCGATGACCAGTATATTTTGATCACACATCGCATATGAAACCGTTATCTCTAAAAAGTCTAGACAGGGTAATCTATCCATTGATAGTATAAAAACAGTCCCGTTAGTGCCTATTTCCAATTGAAGAACATTTCATTGAAAATTCAATCATCGCATGCGATTGACACAACTATCGTGCGTGACTTGTAAATATAAGAGAAGAGTTTTTGCGAACGTGTAAGCTTCATCAATCATGTCCCATTTAGTTGAGGGTTCCATAAGAAATGCATTCACATTGTATTCTTCCCTCGAAGATATGGTATTTATGCATAGGACTAATGGTTAAAATTGATTAATTTCAGAGATAAATAAATCAATTCAGCTCATTCAATATAAAAATGTTTATTATATTTAAAAGTAGATTCATTTTTAATATTTTATAATTATTAGAAACGATATAATAGAACAACTGCGATTAATTCATTTGATGAAACTATTTTGAAATGAAGCTTCAAAATGGTTTTGCAATAGGATTTGATTATAAGAGTCATACTGACTGTACTTCTTCATTCATAAGCTATAGGTAATCTACTGTTAAATATCACAGATATTTCTTATAGAAGAAGCTAGAGGGATTCATTTATTTTCACTGTGAAGAGAGCGTTTCACTGTAGTATTTTTCTATAAAACCAGCTCTATAAGAACATCTATTATACACAATGAGTTAAGACTCTTATACTACGCCGTATGGCTACAGCAAAGAAAATATCACTCATCACTCTATCTTCATTCTGAACAAATGCTATTCACTTAGAACCTTGCATCACGCTCGGAGTTTAATCGGAGTGATGGAGTAAAATTTGGTTGTAAGAGATAGCTTTGAAGTTACAATTTTATAGTATTAAATCCTGATGATGCAAAACTATCAATATCTCTTAAAATTTGAATCATTTTTACAGCATCATCTAAAACAAGGAAAAGGAATCAAAAGAAGAAGAGAATGAGTAGACCTTTTTAATTTGTTCTACAATTGATATTAGTCAAATAGATCGTTGGCGTCAAAATGCTAATTCAACAAGTGAACTTGAATTTAATACTCGTCTATTTAATTCAATATTCATTTCTTCATGTAACCATCGTTCCCAATTATAAATAAGATTTTCAAGATTTTCAATCTATTCTTTAAAAAAGAAAAACTGACCTTTTTTGCAAAGATGAAGTGCACAACAGCTAGAGCACATCGGATGATGTAAAGTTTTTGTTTCTGACGTGATTCGTATTCATTATATCCTCAGTACTTTGTTTTAAATAGTTTTTGGTAGTTGCTCTGAAAATACCAAAATAATGTACAACCAGTTTAAAGTGCTACAAGTCGAATCATACTACTGCTAAAAAATATTTGTTATGGAAATGGATTCGCTAGATTAGTTATTTTCGTGTGAGCTGGTTTTTTGAATACTCTCGTCTACTCTATACAATAGGTTTGCGAGAGTTTGATGAAGCACACATGTGAACTGAAATGGATCTGTCAGAAATGTATAGAATAATATAATATCAAGCTTTCCGAATGATATTTTAACAAAACATCTCAGTAAAACCAGGAAAATATTTTTCATCAAAATAATCAACGGAAAAGCTAGACAAAATTGATTCGATCTCTGAATTTCTTTTATTGAACTATTGATGGAAGTGCCTTTAGAAAAATCAACTTCTGAATTGGAATAGATAGAATTTAGAGTTGAGCGTCCTATGTTAAAATCGAACTAGACTTGTTTTAATCTGATAGGTTTCAAGTATCATTGTAGTACTTTTTGATGATTGTTCGTTCATTGATGATAGAATATTATTATAAATAAAAGATGAACTTTCTCCAAAGTGCTAAAAATGGTTGTTCTTCTGCAGTAATTCCATCGATTATATTTTCATTCATAATTTAATCCATTTCATCAAATGTTGATGATTAAATAAAATATTGTTTAATATCTGTTCTAATAAAATACAAAAATGTGTTGTCAATTTCTTAAGCCATAATAAAGATAATACTCACAATAAAGACGTGTTTGATGAAACGATTTTAATTCAAAATGATAATTTTTATTATCATATCGATTAATAACTAAAAGACGTTGAATATGTTTCAAATATTCACCTAAATACTCAGTTTCTCAAATAATTAGTTCATTAACAGTTAATACCAGCTGTTAATCTTTTTCATCATCACCAAACTACGGATAATAATAAAATATTTTATTTTATTTTGGCAATTTCATACATGATCAATACTTTCAATCATTTTCCAAACTTCTCGCTTTGAATCTTTGCGCGATGAACTATTAATTCATGAGATGTTTCATGGAAAACTGCATTCATAGTAAGAAATGTGTCAATTAAATATTCATGAAAACTATTATTTCATTCTAGCACATCAAGAAATATTGGCTTTTCGATATTTGACATGTTCGACGAAAATCATCTAGTTCTATTAGATTTCTCCGATTAAACAATATTTAAAGTTGTAGTTCATTTGTAAACAATTGACGCCAAACATCTCAATGATAAAGAACGACGAATCATTAGAAATTTGCTCGAAGTATGTCTCGAAATGAGAGGACTACTTTTGTTTATCTTTATGAAGATCTAAAAAGTGTCGTTGTTTGATAATTTGACCTCCGTCTTTTACCAGAAATTATTTAAAGTGATAAGCTAGTGATCTGCGAGTGTTCTTCTTTTTAATTACCAGATATATGAATCTAAAGTTATCATTGCCTGTTGCGATCATGCCGAGAGCTGAGAGATCTGAAAATAATATATTCTGTGTAGATCTGCAACAGTTCGATATTAATTCCGAGCTTGATAATAGTTGGAAAAGCGCTTTTGGCAGGAAGGTTTCTGTTTCACAACAGTTTTTCGCCAATTCGGAAACACAGAATCGATGCGGTTGAGTTTCAACAAGATTAGAATTGATTTTATTGCTGGTAGTTCATCTAAACTGATGAGCTTCAAGTATCATCGATCTAAAAAGATTTGATCACTATGCCTAGTGCTCGATTGTAAATTCATTCGAAATAGAAGAAATACATCTTTAATGTATGTATTGAATATTTGAAGAATTAAACATTAGCATCTATTTCCTCAATAGAGCTAGTTTTGATTATGCGCTTGAATAGTAGTGAAGCTCATGGCTGTTCTTCAAAGAAATTTAAAAAAAGAACAAGTATCTTATATTGAATTGAAAAAAGAGAATCAGTAAATAAAAACTACCAATAAAGAGCAATAAAATAATTGAACGTGAAATAATAACTCAAAAAGATGGCGCGAAGTACCTGAATGTAGGAGGGTCGATCCTGTTGGATAGAAATTCACAGTGAAAGCGTTGGTCCATCTGTAGAACAAGAACCTAACACAAAAACAGTTTCTATTTACTATTTATCATTTTTCGTTACTTTGAGTAATGGTGGTTCATCAATCATTTTATATTCTTCTTTTATTACTTAATGCGCATAGAGATTTCATTATTGCTTTATACAGGCAAAGACATTACACAAGCAGTCATAAAAGCATCAACAAAGTCAATACCCAACAATGTATTTAGATAGATGACATTAGGCGGATTCCATTCATTATTTATTATGGACAAAAAAAATGAAAACGACTGCTACTAGTGACTCGCCATCGTCCACTATGAATGGGTCAGCAGCAGCAGCATACACGCGCATCAATATAAATGCTGTATTGTTCGCGTGTGTTCATCAAGTTTTACAAAACATTCGTTCGGTCTGACTCGATATCAGTTTGGAGAAATTAAACGATGATTTTAAAAATTCAATACACTAACTGCCGCATATTGTAACATCAATTACAACGTGAACAGATGCTCAAAAACATATTGATTTTTTGAGTGAAATTTAAAAAAGGAAAAGAATTTATGGATTGTATTTAACTTACTGGGAAGTCGAATATTATAGAAAATTCAAGTAGGGTGTGGGCGTGGAAACTTAGTCTTCATATCAGTTACATTCTCGTCCCTTCCTTGAAAGACTACAAAGATTTCTGAAGAATTCGTTTTTTCTTTTAGACAACACACCCTCATGCGGCGGCTTAATTTTTAACTTCAACTTCTTCAGATACTTATACCAATTCAAAAATAGTGAGGGAGGTACGTTTTTCCTTTCAGCGGAGGTCTAAAAATATTAATTTTTTTACCAATAGATAGACCGTGTTCCGCTCTATTTTTCTATACTATTAAGTTAGTGAAAATTTGAGAAAAAGATTTTTGCGCACTACTTGCTGTAGCAGAAACTGATTTTTTCGTTCTTTCTGTGTTTTTCTTCTTCTTATCATTACTTACAACCTTATTCCACATGTTTTACTGTGTAACAAAATTAATGGAAAAGAAAAGAAAACAGAAACAGAAATGAATTTTAGTGATTATTTCACTAAATGTTCAAAGTAATCAGCATGATTATCTACACACAGCTGCATCATTTCGATCGATTTCTCGAATGTCTTTTTGTACTCGTTTCGATTTGAAGAGTTCATGAAATCGGTCACTGCATTATGTAATGATTCTGAATCTTCTTGATTGGTGAGATTATCTTTGATCATGTCGAATAACCAAAAATCACAAGGTGATAAATTTGGAGAATAATGTGGATGTGATATGATTGCAAGCTCTTCAGATTCAAGATAATCGGATACATTTTTATGCGCATGTGGCCTACCATTGTCATGGTGAATTTTGATACCACGAGTCCCATGCGAAGATCTTTGACGCTTGATCTCGTCGATCAGTCGTCGCAAGCGTTGGTTGATGTAATAATGATGGCGAACAGCCTGTACACGTTCAATGCGATGGATTAACATAGGCCATTCTCGAACAACAGTAGATAGAGAATCTCCTATACTCACCCATGTTTTGTTTGATATCTTGCGACCGATCTGTTTGTGATAGAATCAGGACTCATCGTCATTAATTAAATCACATAAACGCCACGCTCCTTGGTAAAATTTTGATAAATTTTGTTTACATATTCGAACCAGTTCAGTTCGCTGAACATCGCTGAGATCCTTAGGTATGTAACGTGCAGTTATTTTCCGAAGTTTTAAATCATCACCGATTATTCATTGAGCAGTCCCATAACTCATATCAGTTCGTGCTTGGATACCTTCGATTGTAATGTAAGGATCATCATCGATGAGAAGACGAACCTGTTCGACACTTTCAGTTGTTGTTTCAGTAATAGATCTACCGGGTCGCGCTTTATCTTCAATTTCTTTTCGTCCATCACGAAACAGTTTTGACCATCGTTCGACTGTGCTCAGATCAGGGGCTTCATCACCATAAATTGAATTCAATTTATTATGGATAGTTCTTGCTGGAATACTAAGTGCAGTACGCACTTTTATATAAAAGCGAAAGTTTTCAGTAGTCATCTAAAGCCAGAGACGAGAAAAGAAGAAAAGAAAAAGAGAAAGCATATGATGATTTGGAATAATGAATATATAGTTTACTTTGAAAATTCAGTGAAATAATCACTAAAATCCATTTCTGTTTCTCTTTTCTTTTCCATTGATTTTGTTACACAGTAAAACATGTGGAAGAAGGTTGTATAAGTAATGATAAGAAGAAGAAAAACACAGAAAAAACGAAAAAATCAGTTTCTGCTACCAGCGAGTAGTACGCAAAAGCTCTTTTTCTCGAAATTTCACTAACTTAATAGAAAGCGACGAATTATCAAATAGTATAGAAAAATAGAGCGGAACACGGTCTATCTATTAGTAAAAAAATAAATATTTTTAGACCTCTGCTTAAAGGAAAAGCTTGCGACTCTCGCTATTTTTTGATTGCCCTAAGTACTTTTAACATATGTGACACACTACGACAACCATAAAAAAAAACTGCATCAACACCATCTAATTTGGACGTCGTTTCTAAATGACTCCCGTGACCATTCATGTAGGACGTTCTTTGATAGATACTGCTGAGGAAACTTTCAACATAGGGCTAGCAAAGGTAGTTCTTGCGATCTTACTTATTTGATTAGGCATCTCTGTTTTTGTTAAAGCTTTGATGAATTCGACGATCGTCTGCTAGAGAAATACACTGGTCTCAGAAAAGGTGAAAAAGCTTTTTTGTTTTCTCACTGTTTATGATTTTCGAATTGTGTATCGAAAACGCACTCATGATTGTATGAAATAGTGGATATTATAATGCATTATACTGGCATAGAAATATAATGTACGTAATAATAATACGCTGGCTGTTTTAGCTCATTCAAATGAACGGATACATCAGTGCATTGTAACGTGCGAGCTAGATTTTATTGTCATGCAATTATGTGGATGGCCTGTCTAGCGCATGAAAATGCATTTACAACTCCTTGCCTTGTATCTTCATTCAGTGGCGGAACCAGGGGGAGCTAGGGGGGTCAGCCTCCCCCTAGCGAGATTTTAGAAAATGAATTTTTTTATATAAATATGAAGTAATGTTTGCAATTTCATGTTTTAACCAGTGTTGCCCGCTATGAAACTCAAAAACTCCCGCAAGAATCAAGAAAAAATTTCAAAATCTCCCAAAAAATCCAGAAAATCTTCAAAATTTTCAGAAAAGCCTTCAAAAAAAACCAAAAATCTTCAGAAAAGTTTCAAAGCTCTCCAAAAATCTAAAGAAAGCTTTCAAAATCCGAAAAAAATCTGAAAAAATCCGAAAAATTGTCAAAATCGACAAAAAAATCCAAATTGACTTTCAAATTCTCAAACAATTCACGAAAATTTTTTTCGGGGGCTCGGGGGGGGGGGGGGGGGGGGGGGGGGGGGGGGGGGGGGGGGGGGGGGGGGGGGGGGGGGGGGGGGGGGGGGGGGGGGGGGGGGGG